CAACACAAATGATCCTGTGATCCTGTAACTGCTAAACCAGGGCTGACTCAAACAGCTGGAATTACACCAGGAACCATAAGTAGTACTCAAGACCCTAACTGAAAAGTGATGATTTATTAGTTAACCTCATTGGTTAGTACAGAAAAAAAGATGGTGTAGAAAGCAGGTGGAGGAGGCACATGCTCGTGGAGACTTAGAAGTAACTGTAGATCAAAATTTCCTTCAACAGACCCAAGGTGGGACCCTAATTTACCTGGGCTGGAGAGCATTTAGCAAGGTACCACAGATGGGTATTATTTGGTGTAAAGCATGCTAGACTGAAAGCCATGAACTGGTCAAAACTGTGTGAGGTAAAGCAGGACGGGACTGCGATTTTCATTGAATGATTGACGGTGACTGCCAGAAAATACACTAATCTGCATCTTGAGAATCTAGAGGAGGCTGTGCAGTTCGAAACTATCTTTACAGTTTTTATAAAGATAGAAATAGTTTATATATATAGAAATATAGTTTCCCTATAGGACGGCCCCAGATATTAGAAGCAAACTCCAGAAAATGGAAGGACTGGAGTGCTGTGACTCAGGAGAGTTGTTAGGTGAAGCATATTAAAACAGGGATAGGTCGGGAAAAGGAAATGTGACAGGCTGGAAAGGAAAAGTAGAGTCACGAAAACCTACTTGGAACTCTAGAGGGTGCTAAGGGACCGCCCAACAGGGCAGGAGAAAGGTGAAGGAGAGGCCGAACAAGGGGAAGGGGAGGCGGGGGGCTCCCATCGTTTCCTGGACAACGATTAGAGGAAAACCAGAGCGCACTTGGTAAGGAAAAGGGGCCTTGGGAGCGGGAATGGCCGCAGACTGGGAAGCTGGGCCCTGCCTTATAGGCTGCTACACAAGAAGATGAAGATTGAAGGGAAACGGGGGATTCTACCCCAGCTGAACCCCTGAGGCTGGGGAAAGAAGTGGGATTTTTGGCAAGCACATGCCCAGCTTATTCTGTATTGAATACACTGAATGCAAACTTAGTAAGGATGAGGTAAATATAAATTGGTAAATTATAAATTGCAAATTGCTAATAGTTAAGTGTAAATTGATACATGTGGTAAATGTACACTGTGGTAAATATAACTGGTGCTACAGAGAAAAGTGAAACTTGGCCATTTTTACAGTCCATGAAATTTAAATTAGGAAAGAACTGCACTACTCATCAGTTTCTATACATGCTTTAGTGCCCAGTCCCCTTGTTGGGGAGAGACTTATGGGGAAAATTGGATGCTCAGATAAGCTGAGGGGGCCTCGGGGTCCTGATGCAGAAGTTGGGAACCTGGAGGAGACCTGTGGGCTATTTCTCCAAACAGCTGGACAACATGAGCAGAGGATGCCTGGGATGCTTGCAAGCAATTGCTGCAACTGTTCTCCTGATCCAAGGGGCCAGGAAGCTCAGGGTTGGGCAGCACATCACTACTTTTGTCCCTCACATGGTGACATCCATATTAGAGCAAAAGGTGGAGCATTGGCTGTCCCAGCAGGATGCTCAGATACCAAGTTGTGCTCTTGGAACAGGATGACGTGAAGTTGAAGATGACAGCAGTCATGAATCCAGCACTTTTCCTTGATCTAAAGGCAATGGGTGAGGGAGCCCTGACACAGGGTTGTCTCCAAACCATGGAGCAGGTATATTCCAGCAGAACCCATGTGCAGGATGAACCAATAGAGAGTCCTGATTTAGAATTATTTACAGATGGCAGGAGTTTCATGAAAGTTGGGAAATAGATGGCAAGATAGGCAGTGGTGACTGCCACTGAGGTATTAGAATCTCAGTCTTTACCAATTAATACATCAGACAAAAAGCAGAGATAATAGCACTAAAATAAGCATTGAACTTGGCAGTGGGCAAAAGAGTGAATATCTGGATTGATCCTAGATATGCATTTGTTGTGATTCATGCCCATATGGAAGGGAAGAGGACTGCTGTCGGCTCAAGGGTCACCTATTCAACACAGAGAAGAAATTTTACAACTTCTGAAAGTTGTAAAACCAAAGGAGGTGGCAGTGATGCATTGTAAAGCACTTCAATCTGCACAAACTAATGTTAGAGTGGGAAACCGACTGGCAGACAAAGCAGCTTGAGGTGCAGCTGAAAAAGGCATCCCAAACTTCTTTTTGTGTTAGTGCCACAAAAATAAATTGACATAATTGAAGGCTAATTCTGACATGAAGATCAATATTTAGAAAATGTAGTATAAGCCACTAAGTTCCAAGAGGGATGGTGGGTAACAAACAGCCAACAGGTTATAGTTCCACTTCTTGTAAGGAGGAAAGTAATAGGAAAAGAACACAACAAATCCCTCAGGGGAATTGAGTCCCTGACATCTAGTCTCCAAAACTCTGTACTTAGTGTGGAAATGACTGAAATAGAAAAATCTGTAAGAGTGCAATGTCCAATTTGTTAAAAAAACAATCCCATAGCAAGAAAAGGCCACCTCCTTTAAAGACAAGCTTCACAAGCTTTAAGGGGAGAATGTTGCCAGATAAAGAATTGTTTGCACCTGGTGGATCAAGACAATGATCATTCCTGAAAAACTACTGGCCTATGAAACTGCACCATGCCCATTCTGTAGGAAGAAGAACTGGAGAGGAGCCAGCCCAGTTGTGCCAACTTTTATCAGTTCACCAGGCAGTCAGGTTTGACTTTGGGATCACCAGCCACCAGGGACCACCAAAAAGACCCCCAGGACAGAAAAACACATCTGCAGAGAGAAGGGAAAATATGTTAATGATTTTGGGGAAATTATTATCAAATGTATGCTTATTCCAGGAAAATCAATGAATGTGTGTAAAATAAAGCCTCTAAATAGGAGCTTTTTCTGTACTCAGCATGCACAATATTCCAGAGGATATCCTCACATGCATTTAGCCAAATAAAGAATGACTGCTTCTTAATGCTACATTGGTGTTAAAGAGTTTGCGTTTTTACCTATTTTTGGTGACACTGGAAGCAGAGTGTTAATAGCAATGCCATAGGAATTGAAGAAGATTAATCAAAAAGTTTCAGTAAGAATTAATTATGATATCCTTTTGGAGGGGTCACTGTTTCATGTCACATGTAGCTTTTTCTTTAGGGAATTTTTTGTCACTTTTCCTGCTATTTCTGCATTTGGATCATCCTGGAATTTGAGATTATTGTATGACTGAATTTCAGATAAAATCAAATTATGATCTATTGTATTATCATACTGATAAAAAAAGCCCTGGAAACACTGGTGATTTGTACTTCTTTTCCACAATGAATCCCACCAGTTTCAAAAACCATGCATACAAGAAAAGCTATATACAGTTCTGCTGTGACTTTTCTTCTAAGACTTCTATAAAACACCAAAGAATTTAGGAGAAGGAGACCAAAAGACTGTTGCTCCATTCCTATAGAAATACAATGTCAATAGGTCATGTTTCTTTGTTTTTTTTGTTATTTGTACATCAGAAACCTCCTTCCAGCAGACATGGATGGATGGATGGATGGATGGATGGATGGATGGATGGATGGATAAACTACTGCTAAGGCATGTTTATACTGCACCACTACTTTTATAATTAGAGAATGACAAATGGGTTTTAGCCTGCCTTGGGAGAAAACATGTTCATGAATCCATTGGTTCTGCTCGGCAACTCTAAAATGCACTACCAGGGCTAATGATTCACCAGTTTAATGTGAAAGGGCTGTGATTGCAACAAGGGGCAACAAGTCTCCCTAGCTGCTATCCTGCCTTCAACAAACATTTATGCACCAGTCCCAGGTGGTTCCCAAACACAAATAGTTACACATTACTGCAGAGCATTTTTTCCTGTCCCAGGTATTCAAAAGAGAAAGATTAGGAGAACCCAATTACATGACTGTAATAACACTGTGCATAGCCATGAGCACTAACAGAAATTTTAAGCAATTCTACAAGACAGAGAAAATTAATGGGTCATTGAATGAAGCCTGTGAATATAACCAGCTGTAGGACTAACAGTATACAGGACAGGAGAATCAACCTGTAATCCCTCTGCTGCAAGGGGTTGAGGGGGATTTATCTGGCCTTGCAGGAAGTTTGGGAGTGGGACCTGTGAGTGAACAGACTCTCAGCTGCAGGAGTGACATAGCAGGACATGAGCAGGTAAGAGGGATGATGGCAGAGCCTTAAAATGGGAGGTACAAGAGTTGCTGCATATGAATATATATATATATATATATATATATATAATATATATGCATATGCATACATATATGTTGCATATATATACACACATATATGTTTACATATACATATAACAGTGTGTGTGTGTGTGTGTATAAATACATATATACACACACACACATACACATATATATTAAAAATGCCGGATATAGTTATTATATGGCAAATTCTTTCACTTCCAAGTCAGTAGATTGGATGGTCAGAGGTAGGACAATGTGAGTGCAGGAGCAGAAAAGGTACTGGAGGATGGAGAGGAATCTGAACTCCATTTAAACAGGTTAGTAACATGACTTTCAACCCACTCCCCTCAGGGTAGGGGCGGGGAGAGAAATAATCGGGAATTAACAAACTCAGAGACCCTTTCTGCTCATAAAAGGGAAGGGTCAGGCCCGCAGAGATCTCATGATGCCCTTCACTGAACTAGTTAAACATCTAAAGTAAGAACCTGTAGCCACTGCTCTTCTCCTGATCTGACTGGAAGGTTTTAGAAATCCCTTCAAAAGAGGAAGAGAACTGGGCCAATAGAACAACAAAAAGAGAGGCAGAAAAAATCAGGAATTGCCAGTGATAAAAAGGAAAAGAGGGAAAGCAAAAACCTGAAGGGCAGAAAGAAGCAGAGTAGGAGGAAGAGATTGGATTCAATACACAGCACAGAAGCTGCTCCTTCTCCTGGCCACTGGACTGGTGAGGATAAACTAAAGTAGATAGGACAAGAAGACTCCAAGCAGCTTGAAACACCAAGAGGCCACAGAACCACCTTACAGGGATGCATAACTCAGACGTGATCTGCTTTGTTGTAGGAAGTTTCTTATGGGTAAGTCATCTTTGACTTTCCTTTTCATGGAGTCTCTGCTTGGCTATGGAGTTACCTTGGAAAGATGAAAAGCCATTAGGAATAATAATTTCCTAGATATTAGAAAGAGCTGGACATTTAAAAGGCATACACAGAGAAGATAATATTTGCTGCTATTCCAAGGATGGTAACTCAGACATCAAGATACCCAAGGAAAAGGAATGAAAGGATAGGAGTGCTGTAGGGACAGAGTAGTTTTCAAGCCAGGGTAGGTATAATAGGAAGCAGGATTTTCAAATGTTCTTAATATTTGAGCGTGGAGAAGGATCTACAGCTGGAGAATGACATGGCTTGTAGTGGAGAAAGGGAAGGTTGTGGTGACAATGAAGTTCAGAACAGTACTAAATAAGATTTTAAGGACTAGAGGAAGTTAATATATAAAACAATGCTGTTGGTAAGAGTAACTTCAAATCTACAGCAAAATATACAATAGAAAAAATGGAAGATAGGTAACAGTATGTCCTGACCATAGGAGATCCAGACTCATAATATGAAAGATATACAAGATGTATTTGATAAAGATTTAATTCACTCTAGCTGTGTCTCTGCTGCTTTTCTCCTTCTAGCTCCCCCATGTGAGAGGTGAGGAAGGCTGCCTTAACACTGAACTGTTAAGTATTTCTCAGTCTTGCTCTTCTTTAGAGAAAACAATGAACAACAAAGGCAATACTGGACATGGATGTTATGACCTGATGGTTGACATTTTCCAGAAAATCTTATTTAGTTGTATTAAAAATTCATGTGAAATCACCATTACTTTCAATATTAACTCGATCAATTACTATTTTTATTGATCAAGATACTGATTGTGTGGTACTGCTCCTGCTGCCTATTTGCATTACTGCAATAGTTAAGAGCTTTCTGCTGTAATTTCAATTGACAGGGATTATAATTTAGAATCAAGCTTTCCTTGAAAAAATTGTTTGAAATATACCACTTTGGTGAATATTACTGTCAGTGATATAATTTTTAAGAATAACCAAAATGACATCTTGACAAAAAAGAAAAAAAACAAACATGAATGCAGAATTCTGAGGTTTGCAAAGGGAATTGGGCAAGGATAAATATCAGGAAAACAATCAAGATATAAAGCCAACAGAAGGGAAATTCACCTGACAGGGATATTGCTGAGGTTGGACAACTGTGTCCTTCACAAAGCACAATGAGTATTTCATCATTGTGTCATCTGGAATCTGGACAGTAAGTGAGGAGCGTGAGGGGAGAGGGAGGAGGATACCATAGGGATCTTTGCCTTTATTTGGTGTTCTGTGGATAACTATTTCTCGTACCCTGTTCTCTTCAGCTGTTCAGGTACAGAATGGGACCGTCTGTGGTATATCTGGTAAGATAACATGTTTACTCTAAATATCTGCACCTCTAGACAATTCCAGTAGAAAAGGGTGGGATTAAATGTGACATGCTCAAGAGTGATACCACCCCCTCCTTTTCCCTGGGATTCTCTAAAGCTCTACAAGAGCAAGGCAACCCCTTAGACATCTCATTGTCTTTAACAAAAGTTGACCCACCAGTCTCCTTTTTTATTCCACATATTTAGATGTATGAACACTATTAATAAAGCATTCATGGTACAATATGCCTTTTAAAAGACTGATTTTTAAAGTAAGTTCTGTCTGATTTCTTAGTTATGCCCACCAGGATGAGATTAAGAAGGATGGTAGTTGTTGAACATCTGGAAGGCTGAATTGATAAGGGTATGCCAGAAACTGCAAGATCCAATTTTTCCTCTCTGCTTGTCACTCATGACGAGATGTCTGGAATTCCTAGTTTTGGTCCCCTAGTACAAAACAGATGTTGGCAAACTGAAGCCAGGTAAAGCAAATAAAAAGAAACAGGTTTCTTCAGCCTGGAGGAAGCTAAGGAGATAAAGTAATTGCAGTTTTCCACTACCCAGGGGGGATCTTGAGAGCAGATAAATGCAGAGACTTTTCAGAGGTGCTCAGTAGAAGCACATAAGGTGGCTGACCAAACTGCAGACAGGAAAATTCTGATTAGACAGGAGAAAAAGTCAGTGCTTCACCATTGTCAGTGCTTCCCCTGACAATGGTGCAGCTCTTGAACAGGTGCCTGGAGGGAATGATGGATCTGCATCCCTGGATACTGTCCAAACTCAGCTGGACAAAGCCCCAGGTGACCTTTTTTAGCTTTGAGGTTAGCCATGCTGTAAGCAATCAAAGACATTAAGAGGCATCCTGTAAACAAAATCTTTCTGTCCTAATTCTGTGTGCCTTCCCATTGCAGGCTGGTGCTGGTGGTCGGGGGGCTCCTGCTCCTGTGTGGCCTGGTCTCTGTCTGTATGAGGTGCTGCTTCCAGTGCCATCAGACAGGGGATGAGGCAAGCCCCCAGCCCTACGAGGTCACCGTCATTGCGTTTGACCATGACAGCACCCTCCAGAGCACCATCACTTGTGAGTTGGCCTTGCCCCATCCTGCGGACTTCAACACCCTGTGAAGTGAGGGGCTGCACTGTAAAGCCCAGCTGGTGACACCCCGAGGCTGACAGAGGGAAGTTCATGGCAGGATGGAGGGAAAGTGACCTCTGTGTGTCCTACAAACTAAGGTGCTCAGCTGTGAGACATGTTTGGGTGGAATCAGGATTCAGTGGCATTTCAGGAGAGAGGAATTGTGGGATGCTGCTAGCGGGATTTTGCACACACACTCTTTTAGGGAAGTCTGAAGGAGCAGGAAAAGGAAAACCTTCTGGCTGTGCGAAGAGAAGAGCCTATGCCCTGTGGATATCCTTGCCCTCCTCTAACCACACGATGCTTTCAGGATGAGGCAAACAGCTTTGGTCTCCTTTCTTCCAGCTCTCCACTCAGTGTTTGGGCCTGCTGCCAGGAGGATATTAGCTGTGGCACACTCCCACAACGCTGCCCAAGGAACCCCTCCCCTCTCTGCATCAGACACCCCTCCAGTGTACGAAGAAGCTCTGCACATGAGCAGGTTCACCGTGGCCAAGGCGGGGCAGAAGGTGCCAGACCTGGATCCAGTGCCAGAGGAAAAGCCACAGGCGCCCACCGAGGGCAAGGACACCCAGCCAGACCTCCCAGGACACTGATGGATGTCTGGTTCTACTGATAGCAAAAAATACAGGATAGTTGCATGCAGAGACTAATTCAGGTGGGCAGGGCTTTAAGAATTTCAGATTAACTTCCTTAGTCAATTGAGAAATCGGGGCGGGGCAGGGGAAGCCACTAAAATTCCAAACATTTTCAGATCTAGCAGAGTCTAATGGCTCTTTTTGACACCTCCTTCAGATAATTTGCATTCTCCAAGCCCATTCATTACATACACAACACTAGAATCACACTTTGCACAAATAAGCAGGCAGTAGGATCAAGGTGCTGAGCCGTTTTGTAGGCTAGTGATCTGCAGGGAGCCTGCAGATGCAGTCTCATTCCTCTTGCCTTTAGCCTAAGTTTCCTCAGGATGGCAAGAGGTCTTCAAAGCAGGGGGAAAAAAATAAAATAAAAAAAAGAAAAACAAACAAACAAAAAAAGACATTTGCAAAGGTCTATTACAACCCAATATTAACACCAAACTTCTGGAAATTGCCAATCATTTATAGTAAATTTTAAAAAAATTTAAACAATCTGCATGTAGATGAAAGACAGCATACATATAGACAGTATGTACACAGTGTACCCTTAATGCCCTGCAGGATACATAGAATGAACAGAGTCTGATTCTGAATGGGGTATATAACAATTCTGAAATGGTAGTCGCAAGCTCTTATATTTGAATTAAAAAAATGTTATATATGTACCAACAGATCAAACAAGAGGAGGAGCAAGAACACTATCTCTGAAATAAAGCTCAATCACATTATCAATGCATTCATATAGTATCATTTATTAATTCCTAATGTTGCTGTCAAAACCAGATCAATTGAAGTAACACCATTTAAAACATGCAAGACATTTCTCAGACTGAATAATTTGTGACTGTCCTGGTCAATACAAATATGCTGAACCATCCAGAAATATTAATGAAACTGGATGAACACAGGTATGGCCCATCTGTAAAACCCTGGACTAGGCTGTCAGGAGAAGGCGAGTGTTGAACCACATCAGTGTTGTCTCTACCCTGGATTCAACACCTGAAACCATTAAAGCAGCACAGCATTAAATATCACATGATGATTCATTCAGCCATGAATAAATTGCATGTATATGTTCATGTTGATATGAAGGCCCAGGTCACAGCTTTTTGAAATGTCTGCATGGCTCTTCCTGCTGAAGTACCCAAATTCCAGCTTTAGTTAATATGCTGGTCTCCTTTCCTGTATTTCCTGTGAAATACAGAAAATACAGTTATTTTGTAGATAAGAAGGACAAGGATAATGTTGGACAAGGTCCAACTACTAGGACTAGGTCCCAAACATGTTTAGGAGCCTAACTGCTGTTGAGATCACAGCTACAGAAAATTTTAGAGAAGATTGATAAAATAGCTTCAGGGATAGAATAAAGCTAAATTGAACAACCAAAACATCTTTGATGATGTCCCAGATGTTGACCAGCCACAGGAATTTTGTATTTAAAGGAATTTAATGAGGGTCTTGATTTTGAGGTCACAAACTTCTTCCTAAATTGTCTAGTCATTTTTAACTGTATCATTAGCAAGTGATAAACTGGAATGGAATAAGTAAAGAAGAGACATGTAAGTTTATGTCCCTTCTGCTATTTATACCTTTCTTCAGTCTTAGAATTGTAGAATGGTTTGAATTGCAGGGGACCTTAAAAATCATCAGGTTCCAACCTCCCTGCCATGGACAGGGACACCTTTGGCTAGACCAGGTTGCTCAGAGCCCTGTCCAGCCTGGCCTTGAAATAATAATAATTATAACTGCTTGTGGAACACCAGTTAGAGTGATCTCTTTTATCAGCTGCTCTCTGAAGTGCTGTTCAGGCCTGGCTCCACCAAGCTACAGAACATTTGCTGGAAGGGTCTTTTACTCAACAGTAAAAGCCTGAAGCAAACAGAGACATTTGAGTCTGCTGAACATAAGTCAAGTACTGTCAAGCCCAGAAACTCCCTGGAAATCTTCACAGTGCTTTCCAGGGGGAACATCCAGCTCATCCTGCCTGCAATCCTGGAGCTGTCATTTAACATGTGATGGTTACTCTGCTCTACAGGGCAGCAATTCTGCCTAGAAAGCCCAGTAGTCCCAGTGCAGGAGCAGTCATTAAATCATCTTTCAGTTCCTGAAAGCCCTTCCTGCAGTCAGGCTCAACTCTGTCTTAGAAAGGGGCTCAGGATTGGACAGCCAGCCTCTTTTCCTTCCTGGACCGAACTCCTTTGTCCTTGTGAAACAGTAAATATCCTAAAGCACAAGTCCACCTGCAAGGTGAAGCCTTTCCACATGATGTTCCCCGAGCAGCCCCAGTGCTGAGCTGCACCAGTCCCTTGGCTGCAGGACAAACTCACCCAGCTCATTGTGCCACAGGAGCCTGCAGCCACATGCTTGACACTGGGGATTCAGCCTGGACTGCAGCCAGAGCAGCATCTTTTGGGTGGTCTCCCATCCCTTCTCTTCTAATGCTAACACCATCAGAGCTCTAGGCACATGCATACATTACTTCCACTAATCAGGATTATTCCACTAATCAAAAAATTAAATAATAAAAACAAACCAGCATATGGCGGGTGGTCCATTGCATTCCTTTTACAAAACAGCATTATTTGCAAAATGGTATTTGTAATTTGCAATCCCATTAACTGGTCACTTTTCACAACCATTAAGTTTATGTATTGGCCACCAATGATTACAATATTCAACAAGTTGTTTTTGTGTCAGGGGTCACCCTCCCAAACCCCCAACTTTTTCCAGTTCCTCAGGACACAACCCAAAAGGGAACCCTTTGGGATCCCTTCTCATGGGAGCTATGAAGATAGCCCCACTCTCATATTTACCATCTTAGGAAAAAACCTTTTAACACCTTTAAAACCTTTTACAAGCTTTCTATAACTTCTTACAATCTTTCACAACTTTTCACAACCTTTCCTAAAACCCAAGCCAGTTTGAAAAATCTCTGAGCCTCACAATGCAAACTTTCTATTAGGGCAACTTATGGGCAGGAAAAATACCTTCAAATAAAGTACCTTAAGCAATGGTGTATTCTTTTTTCCAGAAAGGGCAGAGTGATCTACTCATCAGAGTAGGAAATAGGAAGATCTCCCCGGAAATATCTTGGTGTGCACTGGAGTGATGATGATTCCTCTGGTCCACTGAGTTGGCACCTCTTTGTCCCATTTGGGGTACCAGAAACTGGCACCAAAAGTTGGGAAATAAACTATTTAACCAGTTTGTTAGGGTAGAAAGTCAACATAACTTTATTCAGTGTTAGGGTACATGGGGATAGCTCCACAGAACATGCCAGTTATCAAACCTTTAACTAGTTATACATTTAAGCAAACAAAGAAATTAGTATTCATTGACTTACAAGTTACATAGTTCTCTTAATTAAATAGTATTCTACCACCTATTGTTATTTATTTATTGCTTCTAATGCAAATTAATCCACATTTTTAGTATTTTTATAATTTATTTCTTTTTCCCAGATAAAGAGAATCTCAGTAATTGTCTTGTTAGTTTTCTCCTTCATCTCCAGTTTCTGTATATGTCATTGGTTATAAATTCTGCATTCTTTGTGTCCAGGTCTCAACAACAAATTTCTCTCTCTGGTCGAAGAGCACTGAAGCACGTCAGTCCCTAAATTTGTAGTTTGTTTTTCTAACACATGGGCATCACCCATAGCTTGCCTGTCATCTGTTACCCAATTCATGGATTAAATCTCCTTAAAGCAATTACCCTCTCCACACCGCTCCACGGGCTCCTTTTAAAAGAAACATTAACTTGTTTGGTAACAGTGCTGCCCTTAGGTTCCCCTAAAACAGAGTACTTGAGAAAAACCGGTTTTCAGAAACATCCCACTGGCCCCACTGTTGCTGTGACTTCTTTGTTTTCACAGGAACAATGATGCCCCTCTCCAACAGGCCACTCCCAATCACTGACTAGAACAAATGGATCTCAAACTGTGCTTTGCAAATCTGGGCTGTTGTCCTTTGCTGCTGCTTTTGATCATGCAGCAATTGTGATTGTGTTCCTTAATCTCCTCAAAGCATCATTTGTATGCCTTTAAGCAACTTTAGCTGAAGCTGGGCCATACAAGAAGTATGGTAAGAAAGAGCAGCTTTTTTTTTTTTTTACAAAAAAAAAAAATTAAGAAATTGTAGAAAATAGAGCAGCAGTACAGCAGCCCAGCATGGACAATAGAGAGTGCTTTCCTAGAGGAAAGGAAAACATTTACACAGTTAGACATTGTTTATTGGGAGTGACTAACCCTGTGCCCTCATCCAAGACCAATGTGCCCATACTGGCTCTGAAGGTACTACAGATGCAGTGCCAAAAAAAACTGATGACCAGTCACGAGGGATATAGCAGAGACACCAGGAAAGGACTGTGCCATGGGTGGCAGCAAGCAGATCAGAAGCATGAGTGCCTTCAGGTATGCCATCTGTGGTTTAATCACCATTCAGACCACAAAGCACAAATTTTCTGACAAAAGAGACTTTAATATGCAGAGTCCACAATTAGGATTAAAAAAATAAATAAATAAAAAATCAGTCTGTAGAGGCATAAATTACCCAGTGGGAGGTAATAATGAAAGAAATATGCTAGGGACTCCAGAGTTATAAGCAGGAGGACTGTATAGTACAGCACAGACTGCAAAACCTGCCCCCAGGTTCTGTGCAAATATTTTTGTCTTCTGCTCCTATGGCTGCTTGGGAAATCCCTTGTAGAATGACCCACATGACCTGCAGACACAGCAGTACAGTACGTGCTCAGAGCTGTTCTGACACTCTAGATTAAGAAGAAATATATTGTTTTGACAGTCCTTGAAGGAGCACTTTGTGCTGGCAGTCCAGGGTAGGAAAATTAGACACCATTTCCAGTTCCTCCCTCTGGCAAACAAATCCAGAACATAGGGTTTGTCACATGCCCATGGGCTGACATTTTAACAACCCTAAGTCAAATGTTTAGGTGTTTGTCACTGCTGCTGCATGTATCATCTTCCTGCCTGTTTTGCCAGTGATGTTATTGTTATTATTGAAGCTGAAGGAGAGAGCTGGGAATTCAGTGCCTGACAAAGTGGGGAAGCAGGAGGAGTGAGTCTTGAGGCTGCACATCCAGGGTTGCACCATCAGGGCAGGGAGAGACTTCAGTCAGGGTAGTTGCTGAGAAGTCACCTAGCAATGTGCTCACAGGGTCAAGTCTTTGCATCAGAACAGGAAAAAAACCTGGCACTTCTCTCTGATTTGTCATGAGAAATTAAAACCAGGTGCTACCTTAGCTGTCTTGGGAGCAGTCCTGGGAATAAAAACAGCAATTCACAGAATAAGAGGAGTTTGAGATCAGTCTGCTTAAATTGCCAGAATATGTTGGTGGCTTAAGTGAAACAGGTTAGAAAACTTCCTCTCTTTTGTGCTTGAGGAAAAGGCATCACTACAGACCTTCAGTACACCTCAGCACTGCCATGCTGCAGGCAGTTAGGAAGCAAGGAGGCCAAACACAGGCTTTATATAAAAGTTCAATGCCATGAAACCAGAATTTTCCTTGGGTCTAAACCCTGGGGTTCCTTCAATCCAAGCTATTTGCTATGGGACTGCAAAAAATAGTTCCTTCCTTCTGACTCACCCCTCTGAGCTCCTCTGACCTGGCAGCCATGGGAGAATGTTTACATGTCCTAGGACAGACAGAAGCGTGTTGATGGTGCTTCCTGTACAAACCTGATGCACACAAACTAGTAAAGGCTGGGACACACTGGCTGGTGACATTCCCACTGTGGGCTGCTTGATCCTTAGGAGATTTGGGCATGCACCTGCTGGAACTGACCATTAGCAGGAGGTCACACTACCCCATACTAATAAAAGTATTTGGTATAAAAAAAAGTACCAGTAATAAAAGCTTAGAAAGTAAAGGACCTGCCAGAGTTTTTTGCAGACACACTTCAGCTATCCAAAAGTAGGTGTCATGATACATGTTCAGGTGAGAAAAATCACACCCCAACACACCTTTTCCTACCCCTGCTCATCCTCAGTCAAGATATGGGGTTGAATTAGGAAATCTGTGTCTTTTACCTCTGCCTTTGGTGTGGACATGGAGAATCACCTTATGCAGCTGGCTGTTCCACTCATATTCTGCTACAGCTAAAACACCTCCACAGATAAAAGATCAGCCTTGGCAAAATTCTGCTTCCTCTAGGTAAAGAATGCAAAGAAAAAGTAATTTAACACAATCCAACTCATTGTCCCTAGGGTAGCAACAATTGATTTTTATCCTGATTTGAGCGTGCTGAGCCATTCATTAATAGCTGCTCTTCTGCTGATCAGTGAATAATTGTGAGTTGATCTATTCCTAGGGGAAAAACCCCCAGATATTGTATGTGCCAGCTGAGTAACTGGGCCGAAATTGGCTCGCTGTTTTGGGTTGTTTGCAGACCTTTAGGTGTCTGCTGTTTGCAACGTGCATCTGGCGTGACACATCATATGGCACGCTTTCTGCCACCGAGATGCTACTAACAAGGCAACAGCCCAGATCCAGCAGTCACGGGGACGGTCCGAGAACAAACAATTATTTTTGTGTGCGCGTGTTACATCTCGCAGCCACAGAGACCGCAGGTCACATTCATTTGGACCAGCGGGGGCATTCAGGCCTCACCCGGGGAGCCCCCAGCCATGTCCCTCCAGGGCGGGTGCGGTGCCCCAGTACGGCTGGGTCGTGTTTATAACCCTGAGTCACGCTGCGGAGGGCTGGCGGCGCTCTGCTGCTTTTAAGATTTAAAAAAAAAAAAAAAAAAAAGCTTTTAAATATTTATTTGTTTGTTTGTTTATGTTCTGCCGGGCAATAAATCGGTGCACGAACAGGACGCGCCCTTCCTTGTCCCCTCACCTCTCCCCATCCCGAGCACCGCGGCGCCTCCCCGTGACATCACGGCTCGGTTTGGCGGCGGGGGCCCCTCCGCGTAGCGTCGCCCTGCCGCGGGGTCGGGGCGGCGCCTGGCCGAGACGTCACAGCGGCGCTGGGTCGGGGCGGCTCCCCGTGAGGCGGGAGCGGCCGGAGCTCGGCGGGCGGAGCTGTTTGCGCAGCACCGGCCGGGTCGGAGGCAGCCGCAGCAGTAGCCGCAGCCGCGAGCGGCGGGACAGCCCGGCGCCATGAAGTTCCAGTACAAGGAAGACCACCCGTTCGAGTACAGGAAAAAAGAAGGGGAGAAGATCCGGAAGAAATACCCCGATAGAGTCCCCGTGAGTGCGCGCTGCCGGGGCGGCTATGTGCTGCGAGCCCGGGCTCGGCCGCCTTTGTTTTCCGTGTCGGCCGTCGGCTGCTTCTCGCCTTATTTTGAAGGCGAAAGAAATCAGTTTAGTGCAGATGATCGTGATCTCGCTGCTCTGATTCAAATCCCCGGCTGCTTTCCTGCTTAGTGCGAAGCTGGGTCTATTTATGGTGCGCGAGAAGGGCTGCGTTGTGGGTGGGGGGTGGAATGCACCTTTTTCCCTGAGATCCGCAGTATCTCCACAGCGGGAACGCTGCTGATCTTTTTCTGGCATGCATGGGGGTGATTGGGGAAGGAGCTCACCGTTGTTTCTGTGAAAATGGAGATCAGTGAGTGGGTTAACCGGGTACTCTTCGTACTAAACATGGTCTGCATCCGGGTCATCTCATACGTCCTTGTTATTTTTATGTTACTTCAGTTTGTTTTGTCTTTTCGATATAGCCTTTCTCTTTTCCTTTGCATGAGCAAAAAATGATACTTCTCAATCCTTTTGCTCTCCTGTTTAATCATCCTGTGGAGAAAATGTCACTTGGAATGCAAGGTCATCTAGCTAAATTTTGCTTCCTCATTCTTAGGCCCCTTTTGGAGTGCCTGTGGGAAACTTTTGACTTCATAATTCCGAATAATTATTGGGACAAAAAAAAAAAAAAAAGAAGAAGAAGATCAATCTAATTAAGTGTAGATTTTTTTCCCTTTTTAATAAACATTTTTCAAGTATTCTTTTTTTCCATCCCCACTAGAGAGGTCTGCCCTAGATTTACTGCACAGGTGTACTGCTTTCAAAAAAAGTGGGACCCCCCCCCAATAAAACTAATGACAAAGGGGGAACAGTTACACCCCATGTTTCCCTGCAGGCTAGCAGCATGTTTTGCAAGTCTCAAATAGACTTGAAAAAGTTTTTGGAAATCATTATTTGGGTGCCTGTTTTCTCTGTGTTTGGGAGGCCTGGCATAGCATAGGCTGAACATGCAGCAGGGCAGCTTGAAGTGTGTGAGGTTGGGTATTTATGATGAGGGCTCTGTAGGTCGGTGGAGAGAGAAGGTGTAAATTGAGGATTAACGTGGCAGATTGCACAGCAGGCCATGACAAATGTGTCAGGAAGAACCCTGTGGGGAGCCCAGGACAAGGCCCAGTCTGGCAGGACGCAAAGGAGGTCAAGATAGAGGGGCATCAGCAGAACTTTGTGAAGAAAACCAGGACCAGAATTACAGGGCGTGCTGAAGTTAAGGATTAATGGAATGATGTACAGCAAGGCCCAGACTTGATGCACCACTCCGTTCTTCACATCACTTCTGTGTCTGCCCTTCCTGACAGCAGGATCCTTGGAGATGTCATCCTTTTGGCTGCCTACACTGCAGTGCCATGATACATTTCAGCATTTTGATGAGATTTCACTGCCCTGCATTATCACAGTCACCATTCAGCAACAGCTCAAATGTAGATAGGCTGTATTCTGCCCTTAGGATTTTCCTTGTAGGTTTTATTTAGGTATGTGAAGAGTTTAGTGCTTCAGAAGAGATAACCTGCATTATCCAGCAAACTGACTACAGTTGCCAGTCAGCTTAGCAGAGCACCTCCATTCCTTCTGTGCATCTTTGCAGGAGGGAGATGTTTCTTAACATCTCTTAAATCAGTGGTGATCTGATTTAAGCCTTTCCTAGGAGCTTATAAGCCCTAACACTCACCTCATTCTCATAGGCATGATTTCTTTTCCTTTGCTATCTAATGATCAATCTACAAGGCCTCTCCTTCTTCTCCTTCTTCCCCCCCCTCCTCCCCCCCCCGTTAGGGTAGTCACAGCAAGCAGTTTGGCTTGTCAGTAGGTTTTTTTAATTGGAGGCAAGAACTAAAGGTTTCTCCCCATTGCAGTTAATTGTGTTAGATACTGCTTTGTTTGGCTGTGCTGGTAAAAAATGTGAGAAGTGCTGTTGCTGTTCAGTGAGATTGGGGTACTGTCCTTTCCTCACAGCATTTACCAGCTGCATCTTGTACAGAAATGTACGTCCTACCTCAGACTGCCTGAAGGAGCTTGAGTGCCTTGTGCTAACGTAGGTACTTGGAAGTCTTGAAGTAGCTGAGGCAACCATGAACCATGTTTCTTTTTTAAAATCAAACCTGGAAATTTCAGGGGGTTTGGCTGTGCTGGCGACATTCAAATGGAGCACAGAGAAAAAATGTCCTAGTTCAGACCTCTCTGGTGTGAGATATTTTGCAGACACTCACTTGGCTCTAGAAGGATTCAGGTTAGCTCAGCACCATGTCCAGGATAAATACACAAGCTCATGATAACATTTTGTTCTGGTGTGGTGTCTTACTGGTGGGGCAACATTGCTTTGCATCCAAAGAATGCTTAGTCCACAGCAGTTCAATCTTTTCTCTTACACAACAGCTGTATTTGCTGATTTGGGTTGCCAGAGAGCAATGGGAGCATGGAATCCTTAGAAATTAGTCCCACAGTGTTTCAGGTGGAGTATTTTACAATTATGAGGCCTAAGGAAATTTAAAAGTTTAGGAAATTCAGAAAATCCAGAGATTTAGTTTGGGTGGTCAGAATGGCTTCTGCAGAACAGCAAGGCGCATAGATTGAAACGTTACGTATCTTTTACCAGTTCAAAAATACATAAAACAAAAAAAAAATGCAGCTTTTTTTCTGCACAAACACAGTAGTTCCAAAGGTTTCAATGGAAAAGGAGATCAGGTCACTTTGGAATAATTCCTGTTTCTGAGGTAACTATTTTGCCTAACTCTGCTAACAAAAATTATCTATTTTAGCAAAAGACCTCTTGTTCTGTTTGATCTTAAAGCTGCTGAGCTTTGTATTTTTCTGTGTTAGAATATAAGCAAATTACTATTTTTGTCAAGAGATCTCAATGGATCCAGTTGCCCAGATGGTAGGCTGGTTTTAATTATTGTATGTTTACTTGACTAAGGAAATGTCCATAGTTATCTGAACTATGGATAATAAACTTAAAGGATATGAATTTTAGAGTAGATAATAACTCCTGAAGAACTGGAGATTTTAAAAAAAAATTCCCCAGTGAGCTGTAGTTTCTCTTTAATTCTTTGCTTCCTTCTAGAGCACTTGGTGTTGGTGAAAGTAGAAATTAGGATGTGGGACTACTGGGAGTAGGGTTGATTTTGTGCAGGGCAGTTTGGAACTGTAACCTGGAAACCGTTTTACTTGCTTGTCTTCTCACAAAATTAACCTGAACTGGGAACATCAAGGTGTCCTATCTATTTTTTTTTTTTTCTCAGCCATTATGGTTTATTTTTATGTCTGTTCTGGACTCTTTTTTTTTTTCACACCCCATGCTTACTGCTGCAGGACTGGGCTCCCTGCACAGCTATTGGGAGGGAGTGATTTTAGGTTGTCTTCTGTTCTTCAAGTCATTTCACTTGTGTATTCTTTAATGTTGTGTATTTGTTACAGATTATATACCTAAAGGCCTGGTAGCACCACCCAAGGGTAATATCCTTATCCACTGATGCTTTTTGGATCATTTTGGTTTATGATACTCATCATCTGTTTCTTGCTTTCTCTCTCTCTTTACAGGTAATCGTGGAAAAAGCACCCAAAGCCAGAGTACCTGACTTGGACAAAAGAAAGTATCTCGTGCCTTCCGACCTCACAGGTAACAATGTCTACCTCCTTTCTTCCTGATTTTCAGTGAGAGGATCTGAGAAGTGCTTTTTACTCTGTGATCAGCACAAAGAAAATATCCAGGCAGGCTCAACATCTTGTTTATCTGCTGTGCTTGTTATATTTATACCTTATAGCCTGGATTATAACAGACAGAATAGTCTGAGATCTTTTGAGGTATCTCACTGGCTTAGCTAGCGTGTGACAGCTGAGTTCTAACCATGACAACAGTGACTAACTAAATTGTGTATCATGGACAGTGTCGTGGCCAGTCAATGATGACTTAGCTGCAGAGTTGCCAGAGGCTGTACTCTTGTTGCAGGAAGAGACAAGTTCTTGCAATAGTCCCATCCTTTTTCCACCCCTGTAGCTGCAGTCATAGTTACAAAGTTCTTTTTCTGAATGGTCATGGTGATCTTGAGTGTGCTTTTACATACGTTTTTATTTAAGAACATGAATGAGTTAAAGGAACAGCATTTATTTTTTTCTTGCAGTATTTAATGGACTCTGAAAAACTTTCTTGTGCAACGTAGTTCAAGTAAATAATAAAGATTTTTTTTTTGTCAGGAATGATATAACTATTTACACCAAGGCTAAATTCTCTAAGGTGTTTTTGATCTGTAGGATTTAAAGGTTAAGCTAGTTAAAGATCTTCCCACCAATTCCCCTCAGTAGAGCATTTCATACCATAGTAGGTGGAGTGTGGATTTAGAGGGGACGTGGCATGGGATGTGTATCTGACAAACTGCCAGCTCTGACTGGATTGGCTACTCATGTGGTTACAGTCATGAAGTTACTGCTTTCTTCTCTTGCTTTTTTTCCTTGTTCATTTCCCCCTACTTTTTATATACAGTATGTGACTTCCACCACCAAAAGAAAACAGCCAGGGTTAGGGTTGATACCCTAATAAATACAGAAATAAACAGCAACAAGAACAAAAAAAAACCCCTCCAACATTCCTTCTGCATCTTAAGGCATTCTTTGTTCCTCTTCAGTTGGTCAATTCTACTTCTTAATCCGAAAGCGGATCCACCTGAGGCCAGAAGATGCTTTGTTCTTCTTCGTCAATAACACCATCCCTCCCACCAGTGCTACCATGGGCCAGCTGTATGAGGTAAGCCTGGCCCTTTTCTCTTACCTTTCACTGACAAGAGCAATGTCCAGAAGTGTGAGTGGTTTCAGCTTGGTCACAGATGCCTGAACATGGGCACCCTCTTGCCTGAGCGGTATCCCATCACCTGGTATGGGGAGTTCCATCCCCCAGTCAGGAGCCTGGGGAGCCGTATCAATTCAACTGGTTGTTTGCTAGTTGAAAGGGTTGTGGCAAATACTTGCCCCAGCAATGATATATTGCTCCTACTACTTTAACAAAGTGTTGAAATAAACCACTTCCTTTTCAGAGATTGGGGCTGGGAAGGGTGGTGAACATAGGTTTTGCTGTGTATACAAAAGAGATTTCCTTTTAGCCAGTAAAAGTAAGTAAAAAGCTAATAAAAGGGCCAGTGTCACTGGGCATCCATCTGTCTATAAATACTTTCTTAGGGAACACTTATTCTTTGTCTAGAATTACTTTTTCATCACTTGTACTGTGTAAGAGAGGATTACGTAGGATGCTGTGAGCATTGCTGCCCACTATTTCTACTCAGCAGTGTTATTTGAACAACCTTAAAGACATATTGGATGCCCATATTTCTCAGTTCCATAGCCATTATATCTCAGTTCCGTAGCCATTATATCATGGGTGATTTGCGGCCTGGATTGATTTGTCCTTTATTCCTCCTCTGCTGGGTGTTTTAATAAAAGAGCTCTGGCATGGTGCTGTGAGCCTTGTTTGGCCTGTCACTTTTTGGCAGTAACTGGACACTTCATCAGTCTGTATACTGAAGAAGATAATAAAAGAAGACACAGGCAGGATGCTTTCCAAATCTGAACACGTTGAAGGAAAGTGTCTGATGTCCAGAGCTGAGGTCAGATCTCTGTTGCTGGCACTCCACAGAATTGTTGTGTCATTGTAATCACTTAATATATCAGCTCTACTGCGTGTATGTAAAACAGGACTTAGAAATACAGCCACTTGTCAAAGTGTTCTGAAAAAAATACCATCTAGAGGTGATTTTTGACTTGTTAAATCCTTCCAAGTCTCTCTCTCAATCTTAAGACCATACCACTGCTGAGATACTAGTGAACAGTCAGAGCTGTTTCTGTTGCATGCTTGCAACACAGCCTGGCTGTGGCTCTTCAAGTAAATTCCCTGTGTACAGAAGTGTGTCCTGCCTGTGTGTAGAAGCAGCACTGTGGCCAGAGTTCTCTTTGGTCTTGGGAAGCGAAGCCTTCGATGCAAACAGAGAGGAGCAGTGAAAAAGAAGTTACCTGCTCGTGTAACAGTGATCTCTGGGTTGAGCTTTCTCACATGCAGTGAGTTTCCAGCTTTGGCTCCTCACTTTGTCCCTTTGTCCCCTGGCAGGATAACCATGAGGAGGATTATTTTCTGTACGTGGCCTACAGCGATGAGAGCGTCTATGGCAAGTGAGCAGCAGCCCCCCAGGCATGCAGGCTGGATGGACTGATGGAATGGATTGGCGGGGATGAGGGTTGCTGGAGAGGCAGGAGGAGGATGCATGAGAAGAGAAAAAGAGAACTGGAAGTGAACCACATGCACAATGTCACCAGCTTCCACACATTAATTATCACCATTATTTTTAAATTGAGGGGAGTCAGGGTAGGGGGACAGGGTGAGCTTGAAGATTAAGGGGAGGTTCCACACTGGGGGGGTTGGGGAAACTCCACTGTTGACAATTCTTCTCTTGCCACAGATGGAAGTAGTTAGTGCTGGAGGCTGCTAGACAAGCCAGTATAAAGAAGCTCCGGGAGAGTGACTGGGCAGGATGGCCATTTTCATGTAATCCTTTCATTGGATGAAGAAGGCATGCCATGTATTGTACACTGACCTTGTCCTGTCTTGTCCATGGCTCCCATTCAGTGAGCTGTGAAATACTTCACTCTGCCCACACAAGGCTGTCCTGTGCTGACAGTCCTCACTCCAGCTACTACCTGTGAATTGTTCTGAGGGTATTGTGTTTCCCATAATTTCCATCAGTATTAGAAGGGCTGGTAGCTCTGTCCATCAGCATTAGAAGGGCTTACTCTGAGGGCTGGGAACTCCTCAGCTGTAAGACATGAAGGTTGGGGAAAGGAAGGAAAAATTCTGCAATTTTTTTTCCTTTGTTGCTTTAATTGCAACTGCTGGACAGAAAAATTACCCTTTTGTTCTTTTCAGTGTAGTCAACTGATAAACTTGTAAGCGCAGGGCTAGAAAGGACCTCAAGAGCCCACACCAGCTCTGAGACAGGACTGAGTATCCCAAACATGTCCACCATGGCTGCTCATCAAACTTGTTCTCTACTGAAACTTCACTGAGGAAGATCCTGGAGGCTGCTGAGATTGTCTGTTCAGTTCCTAGCTAGCCTACAAGTGAGATTGCTTTTCCTGATACCTAACTTTAGTCATCCTAGCTGTGCATTAAGGCAACTAACTACTAGTGGTCTTGTTTTTGGTGAACACAGAAAATTATCTATCACTGTTGTCCTTGTACCAGTCTTCTGCAGATTTGAGGATGGCAGAGTTCCTGTGGGTTTAGCCTTCCCTTCCATGTCTCATCCCTGTACAGCCCTTGCGCCACATGCACAAGCGTAGGAAATCAGTCACTGCCGCATGTGTTTTGCTGGCTTTTTGTGATTGGGTAACAGTGCCTCTCTGTGCCACAAGAGAGGTTCTTTTAGACTTGAAGGGAAAAGGGAATAGATTATATGTAGATTTTTTTCTTACTTTTTTTTGAGCCAGTTTTGTTCTTAGAAGGGTGTCAGATGCTGTGCGAGCCTTATGTTGTCATGCCAAAGCAGTTTCTTCTCAGTGGCACGAACAGCACATTTTCCCATTACTGCCATAACTATGATGGAATAGGTCTTGGAGAGTGAGCTGACTTTCAGGAAAATTCTGGGGTCTTACATAAAAATCAGGCCTGAATTACTGTAAACATTCCTACATTTAAAAGAGGGACCAAGAGGGAGGAAAAGAGAAGAGGGATGGAGAATACAGGTAAATTCCAAATCAAGTTGAAGGAGTTTGCTCAATTTACTTATAAAGTTAGATCACCATTCCCTGTGCTCCTCAGGAATGAGAAATCAAGATGAGTGCTCTTCTGAGTGTGGGAAACAGGGAATCAGGTTTCAGCTTTCTCTTACTGTTGTTACATGGAGGTGCATGAAGTAGGAGAGCTGATGGGAGTGTCAAGTGGGAGTTACTGGCAGAACTGTGTGAAGGTCAGGGAGGTGGGGTGGGGTGGGCTGGGAGAGTTACTGCCTTTGTGGGTGGGAAGTACTAGAAGAATGGGAAAGAAGGGAAGAACCATAAAGGATGCAGACAGAGTAGTCAGAATGGGGAGACAGAAAATGAGGGCACAGGTGACGTAGTGGTTGGCATAAAATCCCCAGTATTACATCCCGAACTTCAGGTTTGCTGTTCCATCCTGTGTTCATCTGGAATAAATGTGTTTGGATGCGTTGTACCTACTGCCAACTTTGGATAACTTCAGTTTCTGCCTGCGCTGCTCAGTCCTCTCTTTTAGACTCACTCTCCTTCAACTACCAGGCTTTCTTCAAATCCTTTGGGTGCAAATCTGCATCAATCTCTTGTTTTAGGAAGCTCTGAATATTCTGAAGCAGAGGACAGACCCAGGTGGCTTTCTAGAATAAAAGAGAAGACACAGGCAGATGGTGTGCATCTCTCTGCTGCTGTCCCACTTGTTCATGCCAAGCTCGTGGTTAAGCACACCCAGGGGAGAAAGAGTTGGCACCTGGGATGCTTGGTTTTGTGTTCAGTCCTCCCCTCCCACTGCTGGGTTTAAATGACATGTGGGACTAATCACAACTGTTTGTTACGTGTAGAGTTTGCAATTTAGTTCTTTTACAGTTCTTTCAACTGAATTGTGGCATTTCTGTTTTTGTGCTAGTATTGTACAAGGTAATGATGCTAATTTTTTTGTGCTGATTAGCTGCAGGTTCTTGTAAAATAAAGTTAAGACTAGAGCTTAATCAACTTATCAATAAAGGTTTGAAAATCACAGATTGGTCCAAAATGGGTGACTAGCATTTCTTCCCAATATGGGCTTATAAATAAAGGGACAGCTTTGCCAGAACTTTTGCTACTACTTTTTCCCACGATCCCAGGTTTACTCTCTCCTGTCTACCAGGACAAGTCCCATCTCTCCTATTTTTGGTGTTACTGTCACATACACACCTAGCTGTGTCTTGCTATGCTACTAGTGGGATCTTTAATTAGACCTGGATAATGTAAGAAAGTCTTAAGATGCATAATGAATACACTGATGCATTTTCTGCCATTTTAAGGCCTTGAACAGTAATGGGGTGTTGGGCATCACCAGCCCTGCCTGTCCCTGCCAGGCACCTGGGGCCACTTGTCCCGATGCCCATGGCCCAGGACTGTTCATATCTGTCCTGGCACTTTCCCTGTCAGCCCCTCAGGACTGTGGTGCTGCTGCAGCAGGGCTGGCCTGCAGCTGTCCTCAGCCCTGCACAGCCATGAGCCCACTGAAGCCCTGCCCTCAGCCCTGCGTTTGCTAGGCCCTGGCAGGCTGGCAGGATTCCTGCTTTGTCACCTATGGATGGGGCTGGTCACCACCTCTGGCTATGCCCCACTGCCTCAGGTGGGTGCAGTAGGACAAGTCCCATGTGCTGTGCCAGCCAAGTCCCACATGGAGCCACGCATCCGTCCTGTGTCACCACAGCCCAGCCTGAGGTGGAACTTGCCATGGGAAGAAGTGAGAGAGGCCCAGGGTGCCTGCCATGCCACAAGGTCCTTTAAAGGTAGGAGAGCAAAGATAAGGAAATCTGGGATTCCTTGAAAAAGAAGTCTGCAGTAGTGACAAATGAGACTGCTTTTCCTTGTGGATATTTGTGCACTGAGGGGGAAGGAGTCCTGCTGGGAGCCGGCAAAACCAGCGGGTGCCATTTGTTCAGCACCATGACTCCAAGCCAGGCTCTAGCAGTGTGTGAAGAGGAATGGGATGCATGCTGTCACCTGGAGAAGCAGTGACAGACATGCCACTTCCTGCCCCTCCCTCCCTCCCTCCATGTCACCTGTGGTTTGTGTGGGTCCCTCTGGCTGAGGGGGCAGGAATGGGCCATGGCAATGCTTCGGTGGGACCAATGGCTCCAACCCTGTGCACTGAGTGAGGGAGTTGCTTGGAGTGATAAAGTCAAGATTACAACACTGAAATCCACAGGCATAAAACTTGCTATGCTTAATAGGACTTTCTCTTCCCGCTGCATACAGAGGGGAGCCACTGTGAGAGCTTCTGTTGCTGCTGCTGAGGGGGAGAGTAATTCATCCTGCATTGGAGCCTGCCCATAGCAGCCATTTCTGAGCTCATATCTACCACCGTGACTGAAACAAGCTGTCCCTGTGTGGCAGAAGGGTGCTGTGACTACAGCCAGATGGGCACAGATGCAGCATACACTATTAGCTGAAATAATTTGAATTTCAGTTTCAAATACACTAAACATTTTTCTGTGTGGACTGTGGTATCGTCTGCTGGCTCAGGTAGAAAAGTGGTATAAAGTAAATCTAAGTAGTCATCTCCCACTCCTCTCATCCCCCCTCTTACCCCTTTCCTAGGAAAATGGTGCCACAGAGATGTTCGTACCTGCCATGCTGCTTTGCATGTTTGTATCGGTTCCACTGCTGAGAGGCACTAACACAAAATGTGCAGGCCACTACATTGCTGAATGTAATTTACCTGGTCCAAATGTTGAATATTAGCTTGTGCTCCAAGGCTGTTTTATTTATAACCTTTGTTTTGTGGGTTATAGAAATGGTATTAAAGCAAGGCCCGGGGGAAATGATGAGCTCAGCTGGTTTTGAGAGGTTAAATAATTAATACTCTCCCTTGGTCACTATCACTGCACCTGGAATCCTTTCTCCAGTCATCCTGATGCTTTCCTTTGAAGAAAATATTTTCCTGGAGCAGAGACTACCCAAGTTAAGAGACCACTTATTTTGGGGCCTTACAACATCACTGTGAAGGACATATCTGGACTAATATAAAAAGTCCCAAGTCATGCTAAACACTGATGTTTTCACTTCCATAAAACAGTCATGTCTGAGATGAAAGAAACACTGATTAAAACAGAAATAAGACTGCCGAATGGAGAAAGTCCAGCTCACTATTGTCACTCAGATGAATGATTCCCCAGGGTGAGGCACAGAGAGTGACTGGAGAGCTCATTGCTGGCATGGCACTTGCAGGACTGACCCAAGCAGAGCACAGCTGACCATGAACAACAGCTGCCCCAGCTCTTGTTGCCAGTCTTCAGGAGGTGTTTGTGTTCCTGGAAGCTTGCAGGCATCCCAAAGCACAGCCCAGGCCTGGATATAGATGTGTTACAGGAATTAGTTAATATTCTACTGAAAAAGCTGGATCTTGCAGCACCTTTCCCTAAAGGAAGGGTCTGATTCTCCCTGATTTTGCACTCTGGCCAATGCTATCTGCATGTTGTACTGTTTTTTGGGAATTAAAAGATTGTTAATGAATGCTAAAAACAGTGCTACATGGAAGCAGGGGGAGAACAAAAAGGTCCTAACTTTCAAGGGAGGACATTGCTAGAACTGCAATAAGGTTGAATGTACTGAATTATCAGCTGAAGGAAAAACTGATCTGATTCATTTCCTGACCACTCTTTATTCCCTCCATATCTGGGAGGAGTCTTTGTCAGAGCTCAGGACCCTGTTTTGGCTTTTTGTCATAACTCTCTCTTTATCACTTGAGCTGCCTCCTGCAGTGTCCACACACCATTCAGAAACCTAGAGAGCTTTCAGGAGGTAGCAGTGTTTGTGCCTCACCATCCTTGAGCCAACTGATATAACCTTTTCAGGCTGATAAAACCTTGGGTTTGCTAGCTTGCTACTTGACCCCTTTACCATTTTCCATGTAGCAGCAGACCTTGAGTTCAGTGAATGTAAATCCCTACATTAATAAATCCCTACTGTTTGCAGAGGATTTAACTCTCTGCTGTTTACTAGGGCAAAAGCATTCCCACTCACTGTTGCCAGCACATGTGGCAAGTGTCACAGCTGCCACCAAATCTGCAGACTGTTTCCTTGATGCTGAAAATCTGGCTTTGCTCTCCCAAATAGGATCCCTTCTGCTAGTGCTCGGCAGATTATGGATGCTGTTGCCAAGGGACTGATGGAGCACAGGGGGTGACAAGAGGATGGCAACTGCCTGCAAAACTTGAGAGTGTTTCCTAATGTGTCAGGGAAACCAGGAGTTCATGGTGTATACACTTGTACAAAGAGAGTTCTCCATAGTGTAAACCCTTTACCTTTTCTTTGCCTCCTGTGTCCTCTGGTATCCTGCTATTACTCCACTAGCACCTGCCCTTTTCCCAGCAAGATTAGCAGGAACAGAAAGCTTTCCCCACCCTCTGGTGACCCTCCAGCCACCTTCTCTCTCAGAGATGACAGAAGGCTGAGATGTTCTCTCACGCAGCAGCCATCCTCTATCTCTGTGACCTGGGGTTCAGAGACATTTTGCAGCAATTGAGCAGGGCTGAAAATGCCTCACATCCCACATCATTCCCACAGTGAATACACACCTGTGAACACACCGCCTTGCCCACACACCCAGAAGTGTGGCTGCTTCCTGTACCTTATTTCCTGTACACCACACCATGCTCATCCCAAACACACCTGGAACACAAACACATTCACATTTTCTGCCACACCTCCCACCACAGAGTGGAAATGAACAGTGAAATACAGGGTGGAAAAAATGCATGGAGTAATACACAGTCATTAAGGTGCTTGGATGGAGTATGTAGGTAGTCAGGACGCAGGTGTTTTAGTTGGAGGCAATTAGCCCATCTGAATATTTCCACAATGTTGTAGAAGTTTTTCAAAACACTGCTAATCAAGTATCTAGGCATGAGGATGACTATTCTCTGAAATAAAGGTAATAAAAGCAAAGACACAGCTCATGTCCTTTATCCAACTAATTCACATATGGAAACACAAAAAAGAATGGTGTCCATAACTACTGTAGATTATTTAACAGAGGGATCAATGTATCTTTTAAAGGTATGAAGTAATTTTTTTAATCTCTAAAACTCTAAGCCCAGGCAAGCAAAAATAAGTAAGTAGAAGTCCATATTAATCTCGCTTTTGTAGACCTGAATTCTTCATACCTCTTCATACCTGTTGATGCCTAAATGGACCAAAACCCTTAATTGTGCAAATCTCTATCCGGTAGTGAGCCAGAGAAAGTTTACAGGAGGAGAGCCAGGAATCTGGTTCTTCTAATCTGGGCATTCCCCGGCTCTGTAGCCTTTTTATGTAGTTCAGGTAATTACAGAAAAACTTGTAAGTGAAAAAGGAGGGAAAAAAGAATCTGTAGCCCTCAGAAAAGTCTACAGCTACTAAATTGCCTTTCATCTATGGAGTGCAAAGGATGCCAAGAAAGCACTGTGTCACAGGAAACCCTGAAAGAAGGAAGTCCACTACACACAGCCATATTTCAGAGGTGAAGAACTATGAAATCTCCCTCCTTCCCTTTCAACTGAAGGTTGAAAATTGGAGTCTGAAAAAGCAGGACCCTTCTGACTAGGAGTGGATTGTGTTGGGATAAAAAGAGGGAGGCAAAGCTGGTGTATTTTCAGTTTGTGGAGTGCAGATGGAGGTAGTAGCATGGAGGAACAAGGTGTGGGAGGGGAGTGAGGACAGATGAGTGAGGAGACTGCAGGATATAGATGAACCTGGCAGAATTGCATGGGAAGCCCAGCACTGAAGTAACATATTGATTTTCAAGGCAGGAATGAAAAGGACATAAACTAATGCCAAAGGTACTACAGAAAAAGCTCCTCTGGATTAGGTGGGTGGTTGCTCCTACAGACATTCAGGCTGCAGGTACAGGACATCCTAAATGCTTTTGCCTGTTGTCACATAGAAAACTCGTGGCAGGGCAAGGGAGGGAACTGCGCACACAGGGAAGACCCTTCTTTTTCTTTAGAGATGTTCTGAGCCCAAGAGCAAAATGAGCATATGATT